GATGTAGGTAGATAGAAGTGGGGGAAGGAAGGGACGGAGGGAGGAAGAGGAAGAAGGTGGAAGGAAGGAGGTTGGAAGAGGAAGAGGGGGGTGGAAGAGGAAGAGGGAAGACTCAGTAGGGTCGTGTTAGTGGATGTGGCCCCAGCAGTTCGGGTCATAAACTAGCCTCCTCCTCCTCCTCTTTCCTCCTCCTCCTCCGTCGTTCACCGTTTGTTCTGTCCCTTCTATGGAAAGGTTGAGGTAGGGAGAGAGATAAAAGGGGGGGCAGAGGAGGGGGGCGGAGAGGAAGAGAGGAAGGAAGATAAGTGGTGGAGGGGAGGAGGAATGGGAGGGTGGTGGGGCAGGGGAGAGAGAGGGGGAGGGGTGAGGGAGAGAGATAGGGGAGGGGGGGGTGGGGGGCAGGGAGAATGGGGAGGGGGGTGGGGGCAGGGAGAGAATGGGGTGTGGGGGCAGGGAGAGAATGGGGAGGGTAAGTGGTGGGCAGGAGAGATAGGAGGGGTGGGGCAGGAGGAAAGGATAACATGAGTGTGAATTAGTATCGCCTGCCACAAACATATGCTGTTGATGTTGTTTGTTGTTGTTATGGTAGTTCATAATGGTAGAATGTTGGTGATTGTGGTACTGATAGTGGTAGTTAGTGTGATTACTGTTGTTGTAATAGTTGTGATTGTTGTTGTTGTGGTAGTTAACAAAGGTTCATAGAAGGTGTTGAAAATGACCTCTGACCTAACTAATTGATATAGATTTGGATTGACCTTATATGGATGCTATAGAAAACGATAATAAATGGAATAATGACTTGTTATGGTCCCTGGCCTTCACCACCACCTACCGTACATAAGTTCCTATGTAGTTCTCAGTTGGTATTGTTCATTTTCACATTGTTTCGTTCAGGTGTCATCCGCGTCTTGGAAAAGTTCATAAGGTTGGTATTTTATTCTTTTGTTTGCTTTCGACTTTTTTTCTTTTGTCGTCGAGAATTTATTGTTTGTTGGATAAGGAATTTTAATTACTGTAGAGCGATCATAAGTGATAATGATGATGGTGATGATGATGATGATGATGATGATGATGGTGATGATGATGATGATGATGATGATGATGATGATGATGATGATGATGATGATGTGGTGATGATGGTGATGGTGGTGGTGATGATGATGATGGTATGATGATGATGATGATGATGATGATGGTGGTGGTGGTGGTGGTGGTGATGATGATGATGATGGTGATGATGATGATGATGGTGATGATGATGATGATGATGATGATGATGATGATGATGATGGTGGTGGTGGTGGTGGTGGTGATGATGATGATGATGATGGTGATGGTGATGATGATGATGATGATGATGATGGTGGTGATGATGATGGTGGTGGTGATGATGATGAAGGTGGTGGTATGATGAAGATGATGATGATGATGATGATGATGATGATATTAACCAAACCGGTGATTATAGTTATATACAACTATGATATCAAGGAATAATACCAAATAATAAAATAACCTTATAATATTTCTGATAACTAGAAGAGATGTTAGTAAGAAAACTTGAATGTTATCATAGAAATAATAGAATAATGATAATAATAAATAGGTATTTTCAGAAGACTGGATATAACACAAGTATATCACAGGTATAATGAAAGAACAGGGAAGGTGTGATGGATGTGTAGGGCTGAGGGTCGTGAGGGGAACAGAGGAGGGTGAGGGGAAGAGGGTGAGGGGGGAGGAGAAGAAGAGGGTGTAAGAGTGTAGGGAGAACAAGTTGTGTTGAAGGGAGAGTAATTAGTACCCTAGTGACCATGCTGAAGGGTCGCCGCCGCCTTTCTCTCGTGTGTGTGTGTGTGTGTGTGTGTGTGTCCAGGTTATAAGAGGAAGATGTGGGGAAATAATATAGTGGCATGATGGAAGGGGCGGGGAAAGTGGGAGGGTTGATGGGGTGGGGGATGGAAGGGGTGGGGGATGGAAGGGGTGGAGGCGAGGGTGTGGGAGGTGGAAGGGTGTGGGAGGAATGTGGGATGGAAGGGTAAGAGAGAGGAGAAGCGAGTCTGTCCTCCTACTACTTATGGACTAAAGTTGTGGTGCTCGTTGAGTCATTTTCGTCTGTGATTGTTTACGATGGTTGGTGGTGGCTGGTGCAGGTGGTGGTAGTGGTGATAATGGTGGTGGTAGTGGTGCCTGACGGTGGGTGTCGAGCAGTTTTTCCCACTCTCACTACTGTTACAAACACGCCACACCACCACTACCACCAACACCACCCCCATCACCACCCCCACCCACATCACCACCCCACCCCCACCCAGATGGGACCACTCTGCTTCCTTATGCTCATCAATGATGCCCTAGAAAACCCTGCTCGCTGGAAATATGTCGACGACTCCACCATTGGGATCAGCGTCAACAATTCTGCTCCCGACATACCGCCCTTCAGGATTTATTGAACAGTCTCCAAAACTGGGCCACCAACAACATGTCACCATCAACCATACCAAGACCATGGTTATGCACATCAACCTCTCCTCCAACATTGTCCCACCTCCTTCCATTAATTTGGGTCCGAACACTCCAGGTTGTAGATTCCACAAGCTCCTCGGCGTCACCATAGACAACAAACTAAATTGGAAACCACACGTCAGTGAAGCTATCCAAATCCTCAGTTTCCGTCTCCACCTCCTCCGCCGACTCAAGTCCCTCGGAGTTCCTGCACCAGGCTCCTCAGTGTTTACAACATTCATACTTCCCAAGCTCACCTATGCCTCCCCCCCTGGTCTTCCTCCTAAATGCCACACAACGTAAACACCTAGAAAAAGTGCAAAGAGGGCATGCAAGATTATCCTCTCTCCTACTCCCACATATCAAGAAGCGCTCAACACACTGACCCTTTCTACTCTTAGCCATCACCACGACCCCATCTGCAAATTTGGTAAGCTTCTACCATCCTCGACACCGCTCCTACTACCACCTGAGATCCCTAGCCAAGGTCTGTTCGACACCACAACCGCATCCAGCCGATAGTGCACGAACTGATCGCTATAAGAACAGCCCAGTCCCAACCATTGTAAAATTATCAATAACACTTAATAAACCAGTGTATTCCCAGTAAATACTACCTTGCACTGTCACTATGTTGAAATGACTGCTAGTTTGAGCTTTTCCCCATCTAGTTATTATATGTCTTATTTTTGTCATATGTTACTTGTATATTATTTAATTCGGAACCCATTCCCCAAATATGTAACTGTATATTTTCAGCCTTCTAGCTGCCAAGCTCTTTCAATAAACCGTTAATTATTATTATTATTATTACATCACCACCCCCACCCACATCACCACCCCCACCCATCACCACCCCACCTGTTTCTGTACCGCCCAATATCCCTCTACTCAGTGTTTTCTTAAAGCAGTATAAATTTAATTGATGATATAAATTTTACGTGTATATATATTATGTGTATGAAACTCAGTGAGGATCAAGAAGTAACTGAGTAATAGAAATACTTTAACGTAGTGAAGATGAGTGGAGGAAGGTAAGAGGGAGTGTAGTATTTGGGTACTAGAAACTTTTATGAGGAGTATTTTTAATAGGTTGTATGTAGTTCAGTGGGTGTGTGTGTGTGTGTGTGTGTGTGTGTGTGTGTGTGTGTGTGTGTGTGTGTGTGTGTGTGTGTGTGTGTGTGTGTGTGTTGGTGTGTGTGTGTGTGGTGTGTGTGTGTGTGTTGGTGTGTGTGTTTGTGTTAGTGTGTGTGTGTGTGTGTGCGCTCGTGTTAGTGCGTGAGTGTGTGTGTGGTGTGTGCGTGTGCGTGAGTGTGTGTGTGCGTGTGTGTGTGTGTGTTAGTGCGTGAGTGTGTTTACTGGAACGTAAGGTGTTGGGTTTAAGAGACTGGATGAATGAGATGTTTATAGCGGTGAGCAGTAGGTGTGTTAGTTCAGTCACACGAGACGAGGACGATAACCTGCTGCAACATTTTACTGTAGTCGCGCGCTGAGGGACCTCTTTGTTATGTTGTTGGTTGCCTTACTTAGTCGGTCAGGTGATCAGGTCTCTTGTTGTTGATAGGTACTGAGTCAACATAAGTTCTTCAACATACCTGGACGTGTGTGTGTTGGGTGGGGAAGTGTCGGTACCCTCCCCCTCCCCTCCTCCTCAATACTGTATGTATATTCTGTATGCTGTATTTATATTATGCTATGTATATTATGTATGTGCTCCATTTATGTACTATTTATTCAGCCTAGCTAGTAGCGTGTGGCAATATATTTAAGATGCACATGCCTAATTAATGTGCCTGGCGACGTATGGAAGCTGTTAATGTCTCTTGCCATACGTCGTCTATAGAGTAGTTGACCAGCGGACAGGTTGAAGAGCGCTACTCCCCTTGTACATATCTCTTATCCAGTAAATAGAACCTACAAACATTATACAGGTGTTTTGTGTTCGCTCCTGTATATTGAACTTATCCAGAACACGAACAAATACTACAACTACTTTTTTATGAACGTGGAGAGGGAGAGGCCGTTAACTGTCCCATTGCAGAGCGTGTCACCTAGTACCGTGGCAGGAGAGGTGTCACCTAGTACCGTCAGGGAGTGTCACCTAGTACCGTCAGAAGAGGTGTCACCTAGTACCGTGGCAGAAGAGGTGTCACCTAGTACCGTGGCAGGGAGGTTGTCACTAGTACCGTGGCAGGAGAGGTGTCACCTAGTACCGTGGCAGGAGGTGTCACCTAGTACCGTGGCAGAAGAGGTGTCACCTAGTACCGTGGCAGGAGAGTGTCACCAATGCCGTGGCAGGAGAGGTGTCACCTAGTACCGTGGCAGAGAGGTGTCACCTAGTCACCGTGGGGGAGGTGTCCCTAGTACCGTGGGGGGTTGTCACCTAGTACCGTGG